CACAGTTGAACGGTTGCAACAAAGTTTGGCTCACAAAGCCTAGAAATCTTCACCATCTGGCCTTTGCCAAGAATGTCAGCCTCTGCTCTAAATACTGCTATGCATGTATACTAGGAAATATGTTCATGTGTTGTTATCCTATACTACTTGTAATAACATACTTAGAAAGGATCTCAATGTGCCTTTAAAAAGTGGAAGAAGTGTGGGTAACTAATCTCATAAATATTCAGTACTGAAAAGGAATTGACTATAGCTATATGCAACCAGATGGATGAATCTCAGGAACACAGTCTCAGAAAAGAGCAAGTCTCAATTTTCCATTAGTAAACAATTCAGAAACTAGAGAAACAATACATTGTTAAGAATATCAGTAAGGTTAAATCATCAGAAAGGACATGTTAATAAGTTTAGGTGTTGCCTTTGAGGATCAAGGAAAGAGATGGAATTAGGGAACTTTAAAGGTCATGTTTTCTTCTTAAATGAGTGGTTGTTACATGTGTATAAACATTTGACATTTCATGTTTTATACTCTTGGTATTTTATATGTATTTGTGATTTGATACATTAAAAAGTATATTTTAATAGTGTTGCTTCAAAATGTATATATAAGTTGACCAATACAGGGGAAGCTTATTGAGCAGTCCTGATATTACTTTCAGAATACTCTCTACCATCTCTGCTCCCCTCTCCATCCTAAGCATTCTTGTTATATCAGAAACTCAGTTCAGACTCTTTAGCGGCAAAGAGAATTAGTAAGATTACTGGTGGTCACAAAAGGTTAGGGCTTGATTACCAGGAGAACCCCTCATTCCTCTGCCTTTGCTTGGTTTCATTTGGCTTTCTCCAGATGAGAAGTATGACCATAGCCTTCCAGGTCTGTGACAAAAGAGACCAAGAAGTCAGATTCTGTGGTTGGCCTAGGCCGTTTGTTTATCCTGTGGCCAAAGGCCCTGCTGTGTTACCAAAAGAAAAAGGAGATGGGGAAGAGACAAGGAGTAGATTCAGGAAGGCTCTTTGGTTTTATCTGTGATACAGTCTTTTAACTATAAAACAATGTGAATGGCATTTTGACATGGTTTTGTAGATATTAGTGCTGTTTTAAACTTAGTATGAAGACACTCTGGTACTGCCTAAGACACAATGCTCAGTGCTTGTGGTGGGGAGGTAGGGAGAGGGATTAGAAATGTCTACTGAGCAAATGTATTTTTTTTTAATTGTGAAAATACCGTACAGAGGGGTTACAATTACATGGACAAGATAATGAGTACATTTCTTATCAAGCATTATTGCCGCCTCCTTTGTTTCCCCTTCCCATCCTATCACCACCCCTCCACCCCCCACCACTCCCCATCCCCGCCTCCGCCAAAGTTGTAAAGTTCGTTTTTCGACATAATGATTTGTACATCTCATTGTTGGTATAATTTGTGGAGGGGAAGGGAAAAAACAAATCGTTTAGATAGGAATACAGGTGGACCCATTGCAAACCCATTGTTTTATTTTTAAAAACTTAATGTATTACCATGAAGATCTTTCATGGTACCACTTTATATAACACTTACCTTCCCTCTATAATAAGCACATTTGAGGTAGTATTTGAGGTAAAAATGGGTGTTACAAACTTGCTTTAATAACTAAATTTCTTTAGTTTTCCTAAAGAAGTTGCTTTTCTAAATAACTGAATGGACTGGACACTTAACACACTGATAATAGAGTATCTGAGATGTGATTTTAAAGGCAGTTTTGTATTTTACTTTTCTGTGTTAGCAACCTTCTTTGTATTCTCTTTATAAAGAAAATAAACTTAAAAGATAGTGCTAGAAGTTAATCACTGCTAAATCATCAAATATTGCAAACCCTAAATGGGAATAATTGTGCCAGTAAACTTTGTAGAAATCTACTGTGAGCACCTCAGATGATAATTTTGTTCTCTTTGTTCAGCTTAGGGTAGTAATTAGTAATAATAAATAATAGTTTGTTGGATTGTCAAGTTTCATTGTCTAGACTTACAATTGCACATTTTAATCTGAAACTTAAATACTTAAAATACAAAACGTTTGAGTACAGGTCCAATGCTTAAAAAGTTGTAAACTTTGGAGCATTTCTGATTTCAGGTTAAGGATGCTCAGCTGGTAAAGTTTTTGCAAATATTATAGAATCTGAAACACTCTGAAATATGAAACAGTTCTGATCCTAAACATTTCAAATAATGGATGCTCAGTACCACAGTTTATTTATCTGTTTATCAGGTGGTAGATAATTATTCATGCATTTTGGTAATTATGATTCAACTGCTATAACAATTTTCTTGCTAAGTCTTTGTGTAGACAAAAGTTTACCTTTCTCTGGAAGGGTCTGATAAGAGAAGGTAAATTTTTAGGTATATATAAACTAACTAGATACTAGTAAAACTGACATTATATTTTAGTAATCAGGTACACTTTTTTCTTTTTTTTCTTTTTGGTCAGTCAGAGCTTGAACTTGAACTCCAGGTCTGGACACTGCCCTTGAACTCTTTTTGCTCAAAGCTAGCTAGCATTCTACCACTGAGTCACAGTTGCACTTCTAGTGCAACTGGTGATTAATTAGAGATAACAATCTCATGGACCTTCTGCCTGGACTGGCTTTGAACCAAGATCCTCTGATCTCAGCCTCCTGAGTAGCTAGTATTACAGGTGTGAGCCACCAACACCCAGTTTTAAGTCCATTATATTAGCAGCAAGTAGGTTGGCCAGTGATCAAAAGAGGTAGGTGAAGGGTCCCACACATCCATCCCAGGGGACCATGCAGAAGCAGGCAGGAGAAAGATTATTATAAGGTTTATTAGAGGAGCTATATTTCCCCCAAGAGGGAGCACATGGCACCTGTCCCTAACCAGGTAGCAAGAGACTCTGAGGGTTGCAAAGTGAGGTAGATTGAAGCCCAGGTGGATCTGGGAGGAGAGAGGGAGGAGCCAGCTTTATGGAGAGAACTCCAGGGATGGGAGGGGCTCAGGTCTGGATGGAGCTGATGACCAAAGGTGAGCATAATACTAACAGTAGGTAGCTTTTCATGTCAAATATATTTTAAAATGGGGCTGGGAATGTGGTTTAGTGGTAGAATGTTTGCCTAGTATGCATGAAGCCCTGGGTTTGATTCCTCAGCACCACATAAAGAGAGAAGACCAGAAGAGGCACTGTGGCTCAAATGGTATAGTGATAGCCTTGAGCAAAAGAAGGGCAGGGAGTGCTCAGGCCCTGTGTTCAAGCTCCAGGACTGGAGATATATACATATCTATATAGATAGATATAGATGTGATATATAATCTATCTATCTATCTATCTAAAACTGTTGTTCCATGATGTAATTCTCTTAGTTGCCATAGTTGTTAGTAGCTACTACTACATGTGATACAGTATCAAGTTTCACATTGAATAGCATGCTTTTAAGGCAGGAATATGACAGGAGCATCCTTGTTCTTACCTTGAAGTCAGAGAATGTTGGTCTGATAGAAGGAAAAATATAGCAAGACACTGAAGTTCCCAAAGAGATGAGCAGAAGTAATAATTCTTTATATTTAAAAGTATAGCCCAGGGGCTGTGAAGATGGCTCAGCGGTAGAGTGCTTGCCTTGCATGCATGAGGCCCTGGGTTCGATTCCTTAGCACCACATAAGCAAAAGGAAAAAAAAAGCCGGAAGTGGCGCTGTGGCTCAAGAGGAAGAGCGCTAGCCTTGAGCTGAAGAGCTGAGGGACAGTGCCCAGGCCCAGAGTTCAGGCCCCACGACCGGACCACCCCCTCCCCCCCCAAAAAAAGTATAGCCCAAGTGGTCACCAGTGACTCACAATATAATCTAGCTACTCAGGAGGCTGAGATCTGAGGATAGTGGTTCAAAGCCAGCCAGGGCAGCAAAATCAGTGACACTCTTACCTCCAGTAAATCACCAGAAAGCCGGAAGTAGTGCTGTGGCTCAAGGGGTAGCCTTAAGCTGGAGAGCTCAGGGACAGTACCCAGGCCCAGCGTTCAAGTCCCACGGCTGACAACAACAAAAAATACCACCTAATTTCTTTCCACGTGATTTTCAGGTTGCTGTCTAGTAACCTTGTAAAAAGTCATAAGTTCATAAATGAACTCAGCTCTCTCAAATTGTTCACGTATATTCATTTTTGCTGGCCATTCTTGTAAGAAGCTCTTCGGTTGCCTATCAACCAATTCTTTCAGAGTATCTGCTTACATGGCTTTCAGTGTGGGGCACATATATAAAGTGTGTTTCCTCTGTTACCATATTAGAATACATTTGGTTTGTTTCTTTTAGCTGTAGTGTCAGCAATTCCCTGACATAATTTCTTTGTTCTCTGAGGCTCCAGAGCTCCTCAAGATAATATCTTATGTGCCAGAAACATTTCTAGACAGAGTATCCCAAATTGCTTTACAAATTTTCTTATGGTATTTTAGCAGTGGTTACAAGAGCGATTGGGAGAAGGACAAATACAAAATCAAAATTAGGGACGTCAGAGCCAAGACTAGGTCTCAGATCTTATAATATTTTTTTTCATGATGCTTTTTGTGAGTGTTTCCTGAGTTATTGGTAATTGGAGGTTTTTTTGGATGGTACTGAGTAGGGAAGAGGGACAAGACTTAGCATATAAGCTAATGACTAGGGTCATTGATTGCTTAGACTCCTGTAGCAGTTAGTAGATTGGCTTTTGCCTTAGTATTTAATATAGCAGTTGAATTGAAAGAGTGTTAAAATCCATGTGTTTAATGGGTGGGAAATAGCTCACTTGTTTTAATTTACATGTCTAATTTAGGGAAGTGAGCATATTTCTACACATTTATTGTAAAGTGCATGCTTATAACATTTAACCTAATTTCCTACTGCATATTATATTGCTTTGTACAAGTTTCTTATATAATCATAAAATTTCATTGTTAATGTAATTGTATTAATAGTCAAATTAATCATGAAATTGATTTTCTAAGTCTTGAGTTTTTAAATTAGTCTTTTTTACTTTTTCCTCTCTAGGATATGAACGTGATTTCTGATGAAACTGGATTGGAATAATTTCCATGATATTTGTATATTTATATACATATATATATATATTTTAAAATTTTGCATTTGACTTAAAGTGCCATGAGAAAATTTGCATATTGTAAGGTGGTTCTAGCCACCTCCTTGATTTGGGTACTCTTGGATATGTTCCTGCTGCTTTACTTCAGTGAGTGCAACAAATGTGATGAGAAAAAGGAACGAGGACTTCCTGCTGGAGATGGTGAGTGATGTTTTGCAAAAAACTATATTTATGAATATATCACTAGTTTTTATTTATTTGAACAATATAATTAACTTTTTAAAATTAATAATAATATCTAGCTTTCTACATATGTGATGATTATACTTCCAACAAATCTATAGTTGGTTTTTCTGTTAAAATTGTTGAATTAGATGGGTACCGGTGGCTCATGTCTAACCCTAACTACTCAGGAGACTGAGATCTAAGGATCATGGTTCGAAGACAGCCTGGACAGAAAAGTCCATGAGATTCTTATTTGCAATAAGCCACTCAAAAAGAGCCAGAAGTGATGTTGTGGCCCAAGTGGTAGAAAGCTAGCCTTGAGCACAAATAGGTCCAGGGACATGCCCAGTACTTGGGTTCAAGCCCCAGGACCAGCGAAAACTGTTGAATTGCCCATTTCAGTTTTTGTGTTAGTATTAACTATATTTAATTTTCTATAAGTTATTTTTATTACCAAATAATGTAGTTGGAATTATTAAAATTGTATAGATTAGTCTACCATAATAATGAGTGGATGATTAAAATTATATTATCAGATCTCAAAAGAGTTTTTTTCTGCTTTTCTATCATATTCCTAAGGGGGAAGTCTTTATTTTTTTTTAAAATTTTTTTTATTTATTTATTTTTTGGCTGGTCGTGGGGCCTGAACTCTGTCCCTCAGCTCTTCAGCTTAAGGCTAGCGCTCTACCACTTGAGCCACAGCACCACTTCTGGCTTTTTCTGCTTATGTGGTGCTGAGGAAATGAACCAAGGGCCTTGTGCATGCAAGGCAAGCACTCTACCACTGAGCCACCTTCCCAGCCCAAGGGAGAAGTCTTTATAAATAATGTGTAATCTAGAAAATCCTTTTTTATTAATGCTATATAAATAGCTCCAGTTAGCACTCTTACAGTAAAAGGGCTGAAGATCAGGCTATAGAATATGGGTGATAGTGAAATCATTGCATTGTTACTGAAAACATAAAAAGATAGTACTGATAATTTTGGAAGATTGAGTTCTAAGCTTCTGATATTCAAGCCAACAAACAATGCTACCTTTTTTCCTATTTTTTTTTTTTTTTTAGCCATAATGAATGACTACACTATAAGAGGCAGTAATTCAGCATATTCTGAATTATAAAGGTCTCTATCATTAAAGAACACATGACTAGCCATGTGCTGGTGACTCACATCTATAATCTTAGCTACTCAGGAGGCTGAGATCTGAGGATCACAGTTCAAAGCCAACCCAGGCAGGAAAAGTCTGTAAGACTCTTATCTCCAACTAACCACTAGATAAATAGAAGTGAATCTGTGGCTCAAAGTGGTAGAATGCTAGTCTTGAATGAAAAAGCTCAGGGACAGCACCCAGACCTTACTAAACACACACACACACACACACACACACACACACACACACACACCCCCATACACACATACACACACACACACATGCGCACACACACACACACAAACACACACACCGGGACAGCACCCAGACCTTGATTTCCAGCTCCACGACTAAACACACACACACACACACACACCCATAGCTCTATAGCACTTTGCCTATTTCCCCTCTTTTTAAGAATTATATACAAATACTTTTTCAATGTAAATTTTCTTTGCATATGTAGTCATGTTTAAATTTTTTTACATTTTTATAATAAAAAGGGTACTTGGTTCCCAATATTTACAATCTAAAAATTATGTGTATTGCCCATTATCATAATTTTAGGAGGATAGGTTTATATAACAAGTTCAGTTTATTTACTCTTGAGAAATTTGTCTTAAATTATATTTACTGGCTAGCATTAGATGCTTGTAGTTCCCAGACTGGCCCCTAACTTCTTTTAATTTTCACTTTCTCCATTGTTCTTATTCAGATCATCCATTTACATAGTATATACTCTATGGCTCTGCTGTTTAGTAACTTTATTTTTTTTTGGGTCCAGTCGTGGGGCCTGAACTCTGGGCCTGGGCGCTGTCCCTCAGCTCTTCAGCTCAAGGCTAGCGCTCTACCACTTGAGCCACAGTGCCACTTCCGGCTTTTTTCTTTTTGCTTATGTGGTGCTGAGGAATCAAACCCAGGGCCTCAGGCATGCAAGGCAAGCGCTCTACCACTGAGCCACCTTCCCAGCCCCTGTTTAGTAACTTTATTAAGTGACAAACCATGGTCACCTTAACTTGTTAATGATATACCTCCTTATCTACAAGTATTCCTATTCACCAGCAAGAAATTTGGATACTAGATACAAACTTTCCCCTCACCCTACTTTGATTCATTGCCACTTCTCATGGTAGTTTATGGTGTTCTATCCCAAGTGCAAACACTCAAAGGGATTTGTATCATGTGAAGATTCACTTTAATAAATGTTTTCAAAGCTCAGACAAGAGCTGAGCAATATATGAAATGCTACTAGTTCTGTGATTAACAGCAAGACAGAATTCCTTTACAAGAAACTCAGTCTAGAGGCCACAGGAGGATATGCATAGGAGTGGTAGACAAAGGCACAATAGCTATGCAATATGATCATAATAAAATAACACTTTATGAAATGAATGCCAAGAAAAGGAAACAATAGAATTTAAAAAAAACAACATACGCAGTTTAGGGAAGTAGAGATATGCCTGTGGAGAAGGTAATACAAAAGATAAAGGAACAAAGCCAAACTTGTGTGCATATATTATTTATGTTGAGGGAGAAGTTTAAAATATAGGAAAAATAAAAGAAACACTGGAAAGAGCAAGTTATCAACATGTGAGACAGCATCATATCAAGGCTATAAGAATAGGATAATTCTTAGTGAGGTTCCAATATCTCATGCCTGTAATCCTAGTTACTCAAGAGGCTGAGATTTGAGGATCACATTCAAAGCCAGCCTGGGGAAGAAAGTCCTTAAGTCTCTTATCTCCAATTTAGCACTTAACAAGCCAGAAATGGAATTGTGGTCAAGTGGTGAAGTACTAACCTTGAGCAAGAAACAGCTCAAAGACAATGCCCAGGCCCCAGGATGGGCATAAAAAAATAAATGAAAAGAATACTTGAAGAGGATTCTAAGGTTAAGAATTTTGGAAACAACTAATGGCACATATTTCAAAGAAAAGTTGTAAATTTTGTACAAAGTTCAAAAATGCCAAGCAAAAGAAAAATAGGTTGGAAATAACAATGTAGAGCTAGGAGATACAGTATTATTGCCTCTGGAGAAAAGGCTCCTAGAAGAGGTATGAGACTAGTATATTCTGAAAGAGATTTAGTTTTAAGTTACAGTATATACAAGGCAGGATGGTTTAGAGGCATTGTAATAGCCAGGGAAGTGAAGTGAGTCAGCAGTGGAAGAGGAGGAATGCTGAAGGTGAATACATAGCTAAGGGACATGGCCTTGAGAGGCAAGCTTCCTCCTAGGGCTTCATCTTCAATATAAGGAGTTGAAGAGAAAGGAAGATAACTGATACGGAAGAGGGATAGTTTGAAAATCTACCTTGATGTATGAAGTTTCAGTGCAGTGGTTGCTGAGGGGGCCAAAGTTGTATCAGAGCTCATATGCTTGTTGTTCTGTTTCCACTCGTGACAAACTGCTGTGGAGCCTCTGAAAGAGGTCTTTTTACTAAAGTGGTTGGGGGAAGCAAGTATGCTTTATAATAGCACCAAGCGTATTAGCTTTTGTGTTAGGATTGGCATTTACATTCTGTATCTAAAAATCTCTCTTGATAGAACTCAGCCCCTCCAGGATTTTTATTTTTTATGGCATTTGAAAACTAAAGAGCAAAAACAAAATAAATAAAAAAGAAATAATCAGTAGCTAATGACTGTAGAGTAGACTAATGACTGTAGAGTAGTGTTACAAGGATCTTATTTTTGAACATTCAACTCTGTTGACAAGTAAAACTTACCAAAATCTCTTCTTTTGTTATGAATAAAGATGGTGTAGCTATAAGTACAATTACTTACAGTTGTTAATGCTTAATGCCCCTTAAAGATTCTTTGATGTACTTAACAGTTTTCTTATTCTCACCTTTACTTGTTTTGCCTTCTTTTAAGTACAAAATGGCCATCTTTGGTAATTCTAGTAGGGTAGGTATTAAATAATTATAAATTGTGTTTGTTTTGGGGGGGGGGGGTCTGGTCGTAGGGCCTGAACTCTGGGCCTGGGCGCTGTCCCTCAGCTCTTCAGCTCAAGGCTAGCACTCTACCACTTGAGCCATATCGCCACTTCCGGCTTTTTTCTTTTTGCTTATGTGGTGCTGAGGAATCGAACCCAGGGCCTCAGGCATGCAAGGCAAGCGCTCTACCACTGAGCCACCTTCCCAGCCCTATAAATTGTATTTTTATACTGGAGATGATCTGAAACAATCAAAATAACAAGACTAGCATAGGTTATGGACTGGGAAAAGTTTTCACTAGTCTTGTAGGGTTTTCTAGATTTAGCAAAAATTTATCCAATTTATGATTTAGATGTTGCATAGGATATACAGTATTCTTACAGATATTATAAGAACTGATTATCATGCTCCCAGTGTACTTGATTTTCAGCTCTGAAATGTTTTTATATTAGAAATTATTTCAACTGTCAAACATTAAGAAACATTGAGGCCACAATTTGTAGAAAAAATTTCAGTGATTAAAAATTGAAGATATTAATATGTAGGAATGAGAACTATTTTTTCTGCCAAGAACTATTTATAATATATAACATAATTTGGGGTGCATACAAAATTATCAGTACAGGTAGATGGCCACTGGCAGCAGACAGGAAGCATGTGAGAAGTACATGTGTCTGTCCCCAGTGATTTCACAAGCTTTGATGAGTGTTCCCCACCCCACTATAAAGGTTTTCCAAAATGCTTAGAAATTGTGTCTTAAGTATTTTAACATTTTATAAAGTGAACAGAAGGTTGGAACAGGGGTTGAAATTGGCAAAGATATTGAAGTAGCAGTGTTACCAATAAGTTTAGTTACAGATCATATTTTGGTACTTAAAATACTATGAAGCATTTCATAATATCATACTTGTGTTTATACAATACTTATGTGGCACTGTGAAAGCAAAAACATTCCAATTACTGTAAGCAACATTCCAATTTCAGAAATATCAAAATGTTTGGAATAGGGGAATATATATAGGCAGTAAAGGGTAACAGTTGTGTAATAAAATAGAAAACAGTGAGGAAGAAACAATCTTTGCCTCTATTTTAGTAATTTTTTTCAAAATGAAGTGGTAATTTTGTTCTACTTCTGTGAGAAAAATACAAATTAGAAATTTAAGACTTATTAAAGTACATACGTTAAAGTATGTTTTATACTTTGTGTATGTTGGTTTTACTTTCAGGCCTTCAGAATAGATCTATAATTTTCTTTGTTACTAAGTTTACTAAAACATGATAATTCTCTGTTTTCATGTAAGTGAAGCTTAAGTATTTAATAAAATAATTTTGCTTTCACATAATACTTTGGAGCAACATTGTTAGTTTTCCATCACTGTGACAGAAATATGTAAGAGAAATTATCCATTGCTTCTATGTCTATAGTGAGACAGTGCATCATGGGAATGCATATATAGGAAGCTACTTGCCTCATGTTGGCCAAGAAGCAAAGAGAGGAGTGGAGTCCCAGGATTCTAGTATCTCCTTAAGGTCAGAAAACTATAGGCCCCAGAGATTCTACACCTGCCAATAATGTTATAGACTAAGGACAAAGTCTTTAACATATGGGTGTTTAGAAAGACACTTACCTAAATCATAGCAGATACCTTTGTGTGTCTCTTATCAAATCGATTTGATTCTTAGAATTATTGTGTAAAATTTTATGCCAAGATTTTTTTCAGTACATGAAAAGCCATCTGAACTTAATACTTACAGTTTTTGTTGTTTTTTAATATTTATTAATGGTTAAAATATATTTGGTGGCCACTTGAATTTTACCATCTTATTTGCCTAGGAAAATTATATACGACCATTCTTTATTAGAGAGTTATAATAGTTTATGCTATGCAATAGTTGTGTAACTTCATAAGTTCTAAATGTAGCTCTGATTTTCATGTGTACCAATAGGTTAGAGTATATAAGGTAGGCTCTATATTAGAATTTCAGATAATCAAACTGAAAAGTACTTGTAGTAGTAATGTGCTTCTACTGTTTAATTTTGGTTTGGGTTTTGGGGTTGTTGTTGTTAATGTTTTCTTTCTGTGCCAGTACTGGGCTTTGAACTCAGGCCTTGCACTGTTGATTGATTTTTTTCACTCAAGGCTGGGGCTCTACCACTTGAGCTATACCTCCATTGGTTCTTTGCTGGATAATTGGAAAATAAGAGGCTCATGGATTTTTCTGCCTGGGCTGGCTTTGAACCTCAGATCTCTGAGCCTTTGATCCTCAGATTTCAGCCTTCTGAGTAGCTGGGGTTACAGGAATGAGCCACCAGTGCCTGGCTAGGTTTTGTTTTAAGACAGGGTTTCTGACTAATATAGGCCAATAATAATAGGGAAGATCCAGAGTTTTTGATCATGTAATTTAACTCCCATCATCTAGCTTCAAGAGTTAAATCAACTTATGAGTTGGAGACTTGGCTCAAAGGGGCTACTATCTGCTAGGCAACTCCTGGGTTTAATCCCCAGTTCTAAAAATTAGCAGCTGTCTATTCATGGTTAATCCTGTGGTATAGATACTTCTTTTTTTTTCTTTTCTTTCCTTTCCTTTTCTTTCTTTCTTTCTTTCTTTTTTTTAACTCTGATTCTCTTTTCATTGTTGCCTTTGAAGAAGAAATTGATTTTTTTTTCTAGTTTCTCTGTCAGGATTTACATCCCCTTTAATGTCTCTCTCTCTCTATTTTTCTCTCTCTCCCCCCGTGTGTGCTCATGTGCACCAATCCTGGAACTCAGGGCTTGGGCACTGTCCCTGAGTTTCTGTGCTAAAGCCTAGGGCACTACCATTTGAGTCACCCTCTGTTTCTAGTTATTTTGGTAGTTAGTTGGAGATAAAATTCTAATGGACTTTCTTGCCTTGGCTGGCTTTAAACTGTGATCCTACGATCTCAGCTTCTCTGAGTAGCTAGAATTACAAGCATGAGCCACTGGCACTTGGCTCCCTTTACCCCTGTCTTTTCTATTTCACGTGAACTAGTAGTTGGGTCCAGGAGCCTGGCCATTGTCAGGATCTTTTGTTTATCTCCAGCACAAGCACATTGTAGGTGGCATTTTTATGAACTTAGTACTCTTAATTTGAAAGTTCATCAATATAAAATGTTTATATTTTAATTTTAAAGTATCAACTTCTAAACCTAAAACAGGCCACAGATAACAGGAGGATACTTATGACATCAGGGCTGGAATTTGGCTCTGGTTGTCGAGGGCACAGCTTTAACTCAAATGTTATTGAATAGACATGATCAATTGCTGTGAAATTAATATTAGTTAAGTTTACTCCTTATTCTTAGTTCTAGAGCCAGTGCAAAAGCCACATGAAGGTCCTGGAGAAATGGGGAAACCAGTCGTCATTCCTAAAGAGGATCAAGAAAAGATGAAAGAGATGTTTAAAATCAATCAGTTCAATTTAATGGCAAGTGAGATGATTGCACTCAACAGATCCTTACCAGATGTTAGGTTAGAAGGGTAAGTACTTGGTGTTACCTTGACCATATGTGAATGGAAAGTATATCCAACATTCCCAATAAATTTCACTTAAAAAGAGTAATATTTAAGCCAGAATTGGAACTGTGGCTCAAGTGGTAGAGTGTTAGCCTTGAGCATAAAAGCTCAGAACAGTGCCCAGGCCCTGAGTTCATACCCTAGAACCAGCACTGATCCACCCCCACCTCCACCCCCACATCTGTATCTGTTTTTAAAGCAATGTTATTTTACAAAGTTACTGTTTATTGTACTTAAAGCATATTTAAATGCGGATAAATAATACCTCAAGGTATTACTGATATAATAACCATATATTTCAGGAATTTGGAACCTAATTGTTTATCTTAATATATTGGTAGGGGGCTTAAAACATTGTTGCCAGAATATTTTTGCTGAATGATTCCATTTAAATGTTTACAAAAAAGTTCCATTTTTGTATAACTTTTAGCAGTGAAATATATGTCCAGCTTACTAAAGTTTTATATGTGTGTATATGTGTATAATGATGATCCACACTAAGCAAAACATTTCTATCACCCCTGAGAGTTTATTATTCTTTCCAGCTATTGCTCTTAGAGGTTGTTGTTTTGACTTCTCTGAATGCAGACTATCTTTTCCTTAACTTTCTATAACTGGGTCCATGTATTCTTTCATGTCTTTGAGATTCATATTATTATATATATCAGCTATTCTTTCAGGTTGTAAATCATTGGTTATATAAATATACCCTAGTTTATTCTACTGGTAGACCTTTAGTTTGTTTCAGTTTTTTTGACTATGATAAATAAAGCATAACTTTTAGAAGACTTAAATTCTCACTTCTACTTGGTGTATATTGGGGAAAGAAGAATAGCTTATCCATTTATATAGTTTAAGCGTGTGCTTGAAACATGTTTTCTGGAGTGTTGTATCAATACACACTCCTACCAGCAATTGACGAGGTCTAGTTGCTCAATGTGAAGAAGGCAACACAAGGTATCTGAGCCAGAGGATAACCAGGGTACTTGTGGAAATAGATGGGGATTAATCAAGTGGTCACTTAATTAAGTACATTCTGTGTTCTGTGTGGTTCCTACTAATACTGGTAGCCAGACTTTCCTGTTCCCAGCAAGAAATTGGAGAGTATTTATCAGCTAAATTGAACTAGTTGTAGAGAAAAGGCCCTATAGACATTGATATTTTAGATTAATCACCTTTGTGAAAACATATAGCTGATGATCTTTGTGCGTGATTCGGATTTGGAGCTTCCATTTTTAAGGCATAAAGCAATATGAGCAATCTTCTCAGCAAAGTAGAAGAAATACTGAAACAACTAGAAAGAATGATTGGAAAGAGAAACAGAGGAGAGAGAAGTGAATTGGTATGTGTATTAATATAGTTCTGGATGTCTAGTTTAGCAAAAGACTAATGAACCTACTATGTTATCTAATAAATAGCTTCAAACTACCAAACTCTTCTATTAATCAAAATTTTTATCTGTCAGCATAACTATAAGGAATTATAAAGTGATTTGAACACTTCATGCATATAGGCCTCTTGGGGAGTGATCTCAGTGTCGTAGGATGATTCTCAGGGGAAAATAACTCCAAATGGGCTTTTCCAGCCCCTCTTCTTTTTTTTCTCCCCTGCTCATAGTTGTGGATTCACAACAAGACATTGAGCAAGAAATATAGGTTAGCCTTAAACTGTCCCCACACTAAGCTGGGCAAAGCTGGTCAGCACCTACTTTTTAGACAAGTATCCCAAGGTGGAAGGACAAATAGTATTCAGTTGTCCCTAGTGTGTGACTTATTAAACTTCTAGAATCCAGAAAAGCCTTGCATTTCTGTACTAGGACATAATATGTCCAGATCATCTTCATCTTATCTGCCAGGGACCTTTACTGCCTTGTAGGTCTCAAGCTAGAGGAAAGAAGAGATTGTCCTACCATTAAGAGTTGAAGAGAAGTTGCAGTCATTGAATAACTATTGTGATTTTAAGAAAAGAGGTTTAAAACAGATTCCAAGTTATTCAAATGCCAAATCCATCTTATATAATTGTTCATAGACATTTAAAAAGTAATAATATCATTAGTATTCAATTATGTATATAGCATCATACACATTATCATATTTAAACAGTTGAGTAAAGCCAGAGTAGTTTGTCTAGTTTACTGAGTAGAAAACTTGGATCTAGATAAATGATTTGTTCAAAGTCTATATGGTAAATGACCCAAAGGAAATTTGTTCCTGGTCTTGATGACAAAACATTGCTCTTAATCATTGTGCTTTGTTATCACTCTTATTATAATCTTAGTTGATGTTAATCTAAATGAAAGTACATAGGATAAATTTTGTAACATTGCCAATCACTACTTGACTAGGGGCCAGATTTCTTGTGAAATACTGAATTGTCATTGGTAAAGCTATTGACAGATTAAGCTTAATAGATGACAATGCATGGAAAAATTACCAAGCTAGTGGCTCACACCTGTAATCCTAGCTACTCAGGAGGTTGAGATCTGAGGATTGAAGCCAGTCCAGGCAAGAAAGTCCATAAGATTCTTATCTTCAGTTAACCACCAAAAAGCTAGAGGTGGAGCTGTGGCTCAAGAGGTAGAAGAGCTAGCCTTGATCTTTTATAAAAGCTCAGAGACAGTGTCCAGGCCTTGAGTTCCAGCCCCTGGATTGGTACAAACACACAAAAAAATACATGAAAATCCTCCCTCTGAGTTACGATTATTCATTGGATATGTGTAGATTCTGAAACTCCCTGAAAATTCTGAATTCTTTCTTACTATAATATTTGATATATATGGATTGTTGAATGGCAGAATTTTTATCATATTATAGTTTTGCTACTTACAGGCTATCCTATTGTATGAGTTACTCCATTACACTAAGCCTTAGTTTCCCTATTTGTAAAATTGGGAAAGTAATACCTTTGTCTTAGGGTTATTGATAGTATAAATGGAATAATATATCTGAAACCCTTAATATAGTTTCAGGAACCTAATTAAAAACTAGTCAGCAGGACTTTTTCAGACCCTGAGGGTTTCAGACCTTTTCAGAGTCATGAGTGTTAGGAACTCTAATTTGTTTAACAATTAAAAAATAATAGCAGTAGTAAATATCAAACAACTTGTGTTATTCTGCATTCCTGAATTCTTAGATATTCGTGTGGCTAGCTATATCTGTGGTAAATGGGCACTATCTTATACAAGCATTAATAATCTCTTTATTTCCAGAACACAATTGTGTTACTGAGGTAGTCACTCAAATTCTCAGACCACATAGTTAATTTCCTGCATCAGTAATCCTTTCAATCTCTTACAGTGTTTATTATGTAGGCTGTCTTTTACTTAGTATTGTACCTAGGAGCAGAAATTAAACAATATGCATTTTCACTTGTTCAAGAACCAACAAATGTTCTCCTACTCTACTACAATGTGTAGCTCATTCCCATTAACAGATCTGCTCCTAATGGAAATGATAGTATCATTTGGAAACATGATAATCTCCACTTATCCTTTATGAGCATGTCATCTGAGTTTGAAATTAGTGGAAAATACATAGAAAACTAACCAAAAGGAAGAAATATCCCAGAATGAAATGGAAGGGGACTGTTGTGCAGAAAAGTTAAATTCATAAAATGTATAACATAGCTCCAATATAAACATTCAGCAGGGATGTCACCAAAGTTATGGTGTAACTAAACTGAGAGGGACTAGGAAGTATATGTGTTAGGGTATAGAAGGAGTGAAATAAATCCTCACAGCCTATAAAAGGAAGCCAAGAACTAAGAATTTAAAAATCAGGAAGCAAAATACTTAGAATTCTGGAGGTATTTACCTCCTGAAGACAGTGATAGAATTGAAAGGTGTGATTTTATGGAATGAGAAAAGTGAACTTTTGAAAAATGTGTTTGAAAGTTTTGAGTTTTCAAGCATATCCATATATGACGTGGATCAAACTAAAAAATAAAATTATAAGGTAAAATATATATAAAGTCCTGGCTAGATAGGACTATGCATTCCTCCACTATAGGCCAGTCTGGTGCTTTTCAAGCTTACTAGACTAGAGAAGAAAGGAAAAATGGAGGGAAAGATACATTTTGTCTACTCTCTCCAACTTTTTTTTGGGGGGGGCAGTCAGTCGAGGGACTTGAACTCTGGGCCTGGGCACTGTCCCTCAGCCCTTCAGCTCAAGGCTAGCAATCTACCACTTTAGCCACAGCACCACTTCCGGCTTTCTGAGTGGTTTATTGGAGATAAGAGTCTCATGAACTTTCCTGCCTGGCTGGCTTTGAACCGGGGCCTTCAGATCTCAGCCTCCTGAGTAGCTAGGATTACAGGTGTAAGCCACCAGCACTCGGCCTCTCTCCAGCTTTAAGACACTCATTTTTCATTCCTGAGGCAGAAAGGGCTTCTCTTAGAGCTTTGGTGCATTTTAGACTGGAAGTTGCCTGTGGGTTGGCTAATGCCAGAGGGGTGGTAAAGAATGGGAAGCTCTTCACTGATTCAGTGAAACTAGGAGTTCTGGTTTCCTTCACCAGTGAACTGGCTATATTTACATTTTAGAATCTATAGATATCTATAGTGTGAATCTTATCCAGATACATAGTTCCACTTGGTGAGATAGCATGAAATACACTTATTGTATCTTCCCAAAGAAACATCATTTTAAGTATATAATTCAGTGATTTAAAATCAGAGTTTGCAATGTTCTGTTACTGTTGCTAGTTTTAGAAAAATTGCATCATCCCTAAAAGATCTCTCCTGTACATTTGCTAGCACTCTTCATTCCTATGTCCAGTTTCAGGGATAAGTTATTGATAATAAGTGTAGTCATGTATTCTTTGGTAACTGGACTGTTTCCCTGAGGATAATGTTTAAGGTTCACCTATGTTTTGTTCATTTATATTATCCAGACTTATTCTATTATGAATATGTTATACTAGGTTGCTCTTTTTCCTGGCTTTTATAAATAATGTTGCTGAGAATG